CTACACGATACTGAAAAAGAATGGATATGGAACTTTCTCTGGGAAGAAACCAAATTCAGTCTCCTTTTTGCATGAAAAATTAGCCTATCAAACTGCATCATATCAGACAAGATTCTTGAACATCTAACGAACTCAATGTAAGAAAACATACACCATTGAAGATCCAGTCAGCTAAACCTTTTATGGACAAAATCCAGCATACTAATAGGCATATGTACTTCAGAAAAACCTGATACGGTAACTTCAAACAACTCCCATTCACAGGCGAATCGAAGAAAAATGTTCAAACCTCCAGATCTTCACTGTAGAAGACCGGAAACTCGATCGTTTCCCGCATGATAAGATCCAATAATGAAATAAAAGGAACAATGGGAACGGGTTATTCGAAACAATCCAAATGCTTCAAATTTTTCTATCAACTTTACAACATTTCGTTTACAGTCATGGGTGATTGTCTGCATACTCTCACCGTTCGTACTAGAAATTATCATGCATCAGAAGACCAAAACCCACTAACCACTCGAGCCGGAGGAGGGGGAGGAGGAGGAGGAGGAGAGAGAGCGCTTACCGGTGGTGCGACAAGATCTTCCGATGGCAGAGAAACAATGGAGATTCCAGAACGAAGAGAAATTGAAGCCCTCACTCAGACTTGGTTCCTCTTCGCCGGCGAGACAGGAAGATTTCCCGATCGGTGGAGGATTATGCAGCGACACGGAGAAGTTCAGTAGTATGCTGAGGGAATCGACGACAAGATGGGAGCCCAACCCAATCACTCCAGACTACGTGACGTTTAACTGAAGAGAGGCGAAACAGTCTGCCGTTTTTAACCCAGGAAAAAAAAGGCTAGGTGAGACTTGTTGCATGTAGGGTAGAGACATTCGATCAGTTCGGGTTGATCGTGTCCGGTTCGGACATAGAATATTTATATCCAATCGGTATATAATTTTAATGGTTTCGGTTTGATTAGGGTATATTCAAATAAAAATTCGATAAGAAAACTCCATCTTTTGTTTTATATGACAACATTCATGCCATCATTGGTTTTATATGACAAACCAAAGTCAATCTAATATTAAAAGCAAGAACATGAACCAGTATTGCATCACAAATAATCGGTAGTTTTCTTCCATAAAATGGGTGAAAAGCAGACTTTCCATGAAGAGGGTTTATACCTCGCATCATTTGGATGGCAGTATCACCAAGCATGGTTTCAACCCTAGTAGCAGCTACAGCAACCTCACCCATAGGCGCTTCCATAAACTAAGTTACCCCAATATCAGATGTGGCGGTTCTCAGGATACAATCCCGATGAACAAGTCGAAGATCCCTTGCAAAATTCATTGGGAACAATTTTTCTTTTAGGTTCTGTAAGCAAGCAGAAATCAGAAGAATCTTACAACGAAACCAACATTGCAGGACCAGAGCGAATCAAAATGAGGCGCAACGGCAGACGGACCGATGGGCGGTGAAGATGAGACAGACGGCAACGAAGAGAGAGACTTGAGTCGAAGGCGACGACGGAGAGAGACCTAAGGAGAGATTCCGAAGACGGCGACGGAGCTGAAGAAGCAGGGAGAGAGGCAGAGGCAGAGCAAATCGTCGTCGATGGAAAACACGACAGAGACGAGAAACCCTAAGCCTAAGTTTTACATTTTAATCTCGGTTTATTCAAATAACCGAAATTAATCTGATATTTAACCAAACCGAACCGATTGATTATGGGATGACTGTAACCGTTCGGTTATTTTGCAATAACCGATTCGAACGCATAACCGATAACCAATTATTCGGGTCGGGTTTATCCGAACCCGACCCGAATGCCCATCTCTAGTTGCATCTGCATTACAATTTACAACCCATTTTTTCATGAATAGGTTGTGTCAGTACCAACCAAAGATCTACAAAAGAATATAACTCAATATTTTGTAACCATTTCCAAATCGTTGTAAATTAACCGTTGTAAAATATAATTTTGCTGAGTAAAAATCAATAACCAGTGAAAAAGAAATAAACACACAAATGAGTTTATTTGGATTAGTATTTAATTGGTCTAAGCTAAGAAATGGAGGAGGTTAAAATCATCCAATAAAAAATATAGACCAAGTCTAACATGTTTTGTTTGGCCGAAATAATAATAAAAAAAATAAGAAGAAAATACATGTGAATATTATTATAAGTATTTTATTTTTTGTTTTATGTTTTAATTAAAGAAAAAAAAGATAACTTGAATTTCAAATGATAGAAAATAGGGATAACCATTTTGGTTATTAACTGAATAGTCGAATCAAAATGAATCGAATAAGATATAATCATAACAGAACTGAATTCGATATAAAAAATCGAACGGTTATGATTTCTCTAATCTCGAAAAATCAAAACCGAATCGATTAAAAAGATAACCGAAAAAATCGATAATTTTTTTAAAAAAATAATTTTTTACAACAAAAAATTGAATCTGAATTGAAACTGAACCGAACATAACCTAAGTTTGTATAGAAAACGAATGGTTATAGCTCATCTATAATCGAAATATCGAACCCGAATATAACCGAACAAAACTCGAAATGGCTATTCCTAGTGGGAACCTTCCGACCGAACGAGAATATCCGATACTCAAATAGCCCCCATAGCTCCGAAGAAGCTCAGGAGCATGAACTCATTGTGGCTTAGGCAAAAGTTGGAGAGAATGATTCTTTGTTTTTCGTTCTGTAGTCGTTAATGTATAGTTTATAATTTTTTTGTGGTAACCAGATATTCTAGACTAATCATGTGACCAGAAACCAGCGAGGTGTGTATAGTTTATAGTTTTTTTTTTAATCAGTATGACTTTATAGTTTTTTTTGGTAAAATGTATGACTTTATAGTTAGAAGCATGATAAAGATGAAAAGTGAAGAAAGAAAAGTTGGAGCCATATTATTGTTGTTGCTATTATTTAATTACGTGACTTTCGTAAACTGTGATAAGAAAGTGAATGATTGGTATTATACTATGTTTGCGGTATTCGTAGTAATATATAAAAGTTTGGGTACCATTTTACATTTATAGGGAATTATGAGGGTGGAAAACGGGAAAACGGGAAGAATAACTGGACTTTCGGTTGTCTATTGGGCTTGGACCGTATAAGCCCAATAACAAATGGGCAGAAGATTATTTTATTTAGGCTTTGTTTTAAATTAATTGTTGCATGCTCATGTGTGTATGTATTTTTGCTTGATGAATATAATAATATATATACAGGTCAATGATCACGATTCGCAATAGTTTTCCAAATTTCCCGTATTTACCAAATATTATATAATTTGCATATCAATATTGAAAATCCAGATATAGTCATCAGTTAACTCGTATCCCATTCTTTCTTCTTCTTCTTCTTCTTATGCAATATTAAAAGAGAAAAGTTCCATTGTTTCACACTGCAATGAAGCAGAGGAAGAAGAGTAATCTCTTCATCTTCTTCGTCGTCTCCTCCATCATCCTTTTCGGCATTTTCATGTACGACGAGAACCTCAAATCCGTCGCCAAGTTCCCGTTCTTGAGTTCTAAACCCAATCATGATCAGGAGGCGATCTGGGTTGATCAAGAATCCGTCAAGAACGCAAACCCAGATCGAGATTCGGAAAAAAACGCAGACCCATTTCAGGAATCGCAGGTGACTACGATAGAAATGGCGGTGGACGACGGAGAAGTGGAGATACCCGCGGAGGATTGCGATGTCTTCACAGGAGAGTGGGTGTTCGACAACGAGACTCGACCCTTGTATAAAGAGGATCAGTGTGAGTTCTTGACGTCGCAAATGACGTGCATGAGGAATGGGCGGAAGGATTCTCTGTATCAGAACTGGAGATGGCAACCCAGAGACTGTTCTTTGCCAAAGTACAAAAAAACAACGATCAAATCCATTTGGATGTAATGTTTTCATCTGTGTCTGGGATCTGATAAAAGTTTTTTTCTTCTCCTTTTCTTGTTTCCAATGTTGTTGTGTTTTTGGAGAAAGGTTCAAAGCGAGATTATTGCTGGAGAGGCTGAAGAACAAGAGACTGATGTTCGTTGGGGATTCACTGAACAGAAACCAGTGGGAGTCAATGGTTTGTTTGGTTCAATCTGTCATCCCTCCTGGTCGTAAGAACTTGAGCAAGACTGGTTCTCTCTCCCTCTTCAGAATCGAGGTCTCTCTCTCTCTCTCTCTCTCGGTTTGTCGAAACCGATGAGATTGCAATATAATATTTGTTTCCACTGCAGAAACCAGATCTGCAAGATTCTTATATATTTATGATATATATATATATATATATAGGATTATAATGCGACAGTGGAGTTTTACTGGGCGCCGTTTTTGGTAGAGTCGAATTCTGATGATCCAAAGAAGCACAGTAACTTGAACCGTATAATAATGGCGGAGTCAATCCAAAAGCACGGAGTCAACTGGAAAGGCGTTGACTTTTTGGTCTTCAACACTTACATCTGGTGGATGAACACTTTCTCCATCAAAGCCCTGTATGAATACCCATCCCCTCGTATACATACACACACACACCCATATATACGTATACACATACACAATAAATAACGGTGTCTGGACGCATTTTCGGTGATTTGGTTCGATGGAACAGACGAGGATCGTTCGATAACGGAGACACGGAGTACGACGAGATCGAACGGTCGGCAGCTTACGAGAGGGTGATGAAGACATGGGGGGATTGGGTTGACCAAAACATTGACCCGAACCGTACAACTGTCTTCTTCAACAGCATGTCCCCTCTTCATATCAAGTAACTCCGCTAAACGTCTTCTTAATCACAATCGTAATAATGATTATCATGTCCTAATTGTCATGTCTTCTGAATTGTTTTTACGTATTTTCATAAAGGAAAATGGTATTATTTATATCACTTTTCGTTTTATATTTGGGATGAAAAAGAAAAAAGAAAAAACAGTGAACTAAATGAAAACAAATTATACTTTCATGATTTATTTGAATCATTGAATCGAATGTGTATATGTGAGATGATTTATTTAATTATTTTGTTGATAATTATATAAGTACATTTCAATGATTAATATTTTTCATTTATTTTATATGAAATTATTAATTGTTCATTGTATAATTAATAAGTTTGTGGATTTTCATTTATTTTATCGATCGTTCTCTTTTTAAAAAACAATTTGTGGATTTTTATCAAAGGATAATTAATACGTTTTGTATATAAATGTAATAGAGATTTTTGTATAGATAATCACCATTTTTTAATATATATATTAAATTTAATATTTTAACATCTTTTTGTCTACGACTTAAAATATGTTAAAAAAAATTGTAATCGTTTTTGTAGGAGTTTGGATTGGGAGAATCCAGATGGCATAAAGTGTGCGTTGGAGAGAATGCCGATCTTAAACATGTCGATGCCTTTTAACGTTGGGACGGACTACAGGTTGTTTTCCATAGCGGAAAACGTCACGCATTCTCTCAAAGTCCCGGTTCACTTTCTCAACATAACAAGACTCTCGGAATATCGGAAAGATGCTCACACTTCGGTTTATACTATCCGACAAGGGAAGATGATGACGTCGGAGCAACAGGCTGACCCGACTACCTACGCCGACTGCATCCATTGGTGCCTCCCTGGCTTGCCCGATACCTGGAACGAGTTCCTCTATATTCGTATCATATCACTGTTCTGATCTTATCTTAATCGGGATTTTCGAATTTCATGTTAAAAAGATATCGTTCAAATTCTTTTTTGGGTTTGTTAATTGCGAAATAGATTACACATTTCATTTTCTATAGAAGAATACGACTTGTGATTGGAATTTATAGTTTGATTCCTTGTTCATATCTTTGGAAAAAAAAATCAAGATAGTTTTTTTGATAAAGTTATCTTTAACTTTCTCATTCTTACAAAACGGAAATCACATATCACATGATTAATAATTATAAAATGATAGTTTTCTTGTTTATTTCGATTATAATTCTATTTTGAAAAATATGCAAAACATACTCATAAATAATAGATGACAATGACAAAACACCTTAGACGATATTGGAAAAAAATAATTATGATCTATATATATATATATAATTACAGTAGATTTTTTATTGGAGTGACATGTGTCCTATTTTTCAGAATTTAATAAAAAACATAATGAAGAGATTTATACCTAGAATACAATTAAAGTTTACCTTTTTCATAACTTTTTTGTATTAATGCATGCATAGTTAATTTAGTTAAATGAGGTTTGAATTTATTGAACAATAATTACTTTAAT